CTTGAAATTGAATCTAAATTACATTTAAATATCTATAAAATTATATAATATATATATACACATTCACCACTTTTAGGCTGATTTTTTTATTCTACCCGAATGCTTTTTATTATTTTATATATGTATATTAATTCATTGGAAGAAATACTACTATTTCAACATTCCTCGATATCTCCAAACTCCAAAGGATGCAAATATTTTAAATGTAACAAATGTGTTGCTGACATAGGAAATTGTTTTTACACCACAACAATTTTCTTGAAAACATTTATTACATTTGATGCAATAAAGTGTGTTCGAGAGACACTCTAGTCTCTATGGTGCGATAAAAAAATATTACGACTTGTGTGGTTCGTTTTTTGCACTCTGCGACACTGCTGTAGAAGCTACAGAACTGCAAATTATTGTTTATTTTAAGGTGGTCGATCTACGGCCGGTGTTCATAGTCGATTCCTATATTTAAGATTGTTCTAAGTACAGTCTTAAGGGGATCCTAAACAGATTACCGAACTTGATCGAGGTCGATAGTGCAGACTTTTTTAATTCCAAATTCGATAATAGTGAAACAGTTTTAATTCATTTCTTACATTATATTATATATCGTTTTATCATATTTAAATGCATACATTTGTCCTTATCTAACATATGCCAGCATCATCTATCGCAAGACCGCGCAACTACACGGAATTTCGGCTCTGTCGACAGTTCCAGTCTTCGCAAAGCATCCGTATACACGTATTTTCCATTCGGTGAAAAGGCTTTCCTTCTAGACTTTTAATCTTAGTTCTACAAACTCGGTATCGTTCGTTCCAGTAATGTGACCTGCATACTCATTTTGAAGCTATATGGGCTATAAAACTCTTACATGAAGCAAATATACTTCAGATAACAGCTGTACGAGCCAAAAGTAAGTGAATTTTTAACGAATTTTAAACTTTTTTCTCATGAAATCCAGTGCAGCTGAGGTTCTGTTCGTGCTTTAATTCTCTACTAATAATTTTGCAATCCGTAAATCCAATTTAGAGATTTTTCACCGAATGGAAATGAGGTAAAGTAGGACAACTTTAGTATCCCCTTAAGATGTCACGAATCAATCAGAGAGCCACATTAGCATAAGACATTATTTAAGACGGCCTTTAAATAAGAACAGATTATAAATACTGGCTTACGATCACACTAAAAAAAATATCAATTTAAACAATTTAAAAAAAATCCCAATAAAACCCCCAAAATATCCAGTAGGCTTTTTTTTAAAAAAAGCTCGAGTTTTTTTCCAGTCCTGAATTTCCACTTGTTTCGGAATGTGCAAACAAAAATCTATCGAATGGTGTTATTTGAATTTCATATCTTTAGAATTTGAGCCGAAAATGTACATTCTACGGAGTAAAGTTAGTCCCCCAACATTTATTTGTTAATTTACTTTTAAGATAGTATTAGCGCGACAGTACCGTTCAAAAGTTTAGTCCCGTCGCTGCGCTCGGTGGTGATACCTCATACACTGAAAAAAAAAGATTGGCTGCTGCAGCAAATTAGATGGTAAAATATGGCATAGCATTTTTAATTGGCTGCTGCAGCACATATTTTACCATCTAATTTGCTGCAGCAGCCAATCTTTTTTTTCAGTGTAGAGTCCCAAAAAATAGAGTCTGGACATTCGGGATTCTGCGTGATTGGTGCACGTGACTTAGTGCTCTCACAATAGCAGCACCAATACGGAATCTTACTCACTCAGCGCGAACGGGAAGAAAATTAGAATAGAAATACATCTCGTATTCGTACGTAGGTACTCGGAATTTATAGTGGTATCACAGAAGTAATGATGTATGTGTATTTCCTAAAAAATTGAGAAATATATATTTGGCGAAGGTTCTATGTATACATACATACGATGCAATGTACATATGTAATATACACTGGTTGTGTTCTAAAATTCACTACCACTATTAAAAATCTATAGTACACATAACGTGAACTGTAAGGCTTTTTATTTTTAATTGAACTTCTCGCATTTCTTGCATCTCGGTTCATCTTTTCTCTTTTTCTCTTCGCATTGTATGAAAAAGGTAGAAAGTTGAACCGTATTGTTTTTTTTTACTTAAAAAAAGGTTAGGAAACTTTCAGAGCGTTGCAAATAATTATAGATAGACACATCAAAAATATTACTTATTTAATTTTTATATTGATTTAGAGATATTATATATTGCTATTACTTATCACAAATTGATGTGTATTAATAAAAAAAACCTTGTTACATGACGCAGCAGTCAACCAAAACGCACACACTATGGCTGCGATCGCTTTGTCGCTTGCAGCGCTGTGAGCATCAATTGTCCTTGTTTAATATTTAATAAACAACAAGAATGAAACAACGCTTAAAGCATTGTGATCGCCAAAGCGAACACAGCCTAGAGTACACACACATATTCGTCGCCATTTTGAGAGCACTTTCGCTGAATGTCCAAACTCTACTTCTAGGGACTCTCAATACCTCACTCCCGCGCGAGCGAGCGAGCGAGCGAGCGAGCGAGAGAGAGAGAGAGAGAGAGAGAGAGAGAGAGAGAGAGAAAATTCGATTGTCCTGTCCAAGGCCGCACGCACATGCGGAAAGAAAATGAATACAGATAGATACCCTCTACTCCCCATCACTCCCTTCAATTGCCACATTATGTATGTCAAAGAAAACCGAAACAGTGCGTTCTTTTCACAGCTCTATTTTCCTAACTAAATGGTCAAAAATTATAACCTTTTTTTACAATATCCGTTTCCAATGTTATTCCAATGTTCCTTTATAGCATGCTCGTTTTTTGTAAGAATCCTAAAAAAAGTATCGATACTATAATTAAAAATCTGACGTTAACTTGAGTTGCATATATGCTTCACATAGTAAAACTGCATATTTGGATTGTAATTATCTCAGAAACTAGACGGTCATATATTTCTAATTGCACACAAACATAGAGAGCACTTCAACTTACTTGTATGTCAAATTTTAGCACATTGGTAAGAAAATCATTTTATGCTAGTACTACCTTAAACTGAAGTTTAAGTAAAGAACTTTAAGTAAAAGTATGCAAACGAAAAATCAACTTGTTTCGGAATGTACAAACGAAAATCTATCGATTGAGATTAGATAAGATAGATTAATCTAATTTGCTCGTGGTTGGAGGACATACATGTGCAAACGATGAGCAATCTCGCACGAATGAGCTATAAAAGATTAATATTTTCAAAAGTTATAATATTTGAAGAAACAGCATTAATGTTTGTTCAGGATTGATGTTAGACTAAAAATGTCGGAGTAATGTAATATTATCTTTTTAAAAATGAACTGCGATATTCCGCGCTGATTTTTAGTTTGATACACGCGAAAGCGATATTGGCATCATGTAGATTCGATCGCATAGAATAATACACTCGATTCCAAAAGTAAGTATCGCCTGACGAACGCGAAAGAGGACGTCGAGAGGGTTGAGTCATAATTCGCAATTTCAGTGCAATCGTACAGTGGCGTCGTTTTCGATGATTGCCGGCAAAGAGAAAAAAAATGCCGGCGATTACATACTTAAAATGTATGCTGAGGAAGTATGCGTGAACTGAAATAACTACATATATGTATATATAAGAGTATATATTGGCTGCGAGCTGCGAGTGCTGCGAGTCAGATCATTCTTTCTTTCATGAGGAATATCATTCGCGGAAATGCGAGCCATCAGCCGAAATCGATTCGTGTAATTAAACAAAAACATTATACACATATTAGCCAGATCGCGATCAGCGAAATGGCCCAAGTATTTTTTTCAATTTTATAGATTGATCTCGAACTTGTACCGCTGCACTAATAATAATACAATGCGAACTTATTGGTGAGTCGCGTTCGCAAGCGCGCAATTATACAAACGCAGAAATAAATATGCAAAGAACTCACCCTCTCGGAGACGCGCTGATGGACGCCGTTGCCGTTTTCCCTTGTCACGTTCGCGCACGCTCACATACACGTACAGCCGGTTACAAGACGGTAAAAGACCACTGTCAGATCCTTAATAACGTTGCGTTTGCTGTCTTGCGGAAATAACGAGACGTATCGCGTATATTGGGTATATGCCAGTATATGCGTGCGTCTTATCTCGAATTTTCGTCGTAATCAATCGTAATCAATCGTAACCAATCGTAACCGACGCCGACCCGACGCCGACGCGACGTCGCGAAACCAGTGATGCGAATTCCGGGCCGCTTGCAGCACGCGATCAGCGCCACCGGTCGGCGGTCTGGCGCAACCGATGGCAACACAAGCACGAACCCGTGTCCGTGTGACTTGGTAGTTGGAAGAGTGCCGACTATACTCTGAACGAATGCGAAAAGGTCAGAGTATAGTCGGCACGCTTCCAACTACCAAGTCACACGGACACAGACTCGTGCTTGTCCATTGGTTGCGCCAGGCCGCCGACCGGTGGCGCTGATTGCGTGATGCAAGCGGCCCGGAATTCACATCACTGCGAAACTCGCGAAGATGGACTGACTGTGACTGGCAACACTGGCGCAATCCGCGCAATGCGCATGCGCTATCCATGATGTAAAGGTGCCTTTATATGGGAGCGTCATACATGCGCAGTGACATTGAATAATTTTCCCATGTATTCCGACGTATCCGACTATTGATAGATTAAAATCGTTTATTCTTTATTCCTAATTCCTTATTTCTTCTATTGTGCGTAGAGTCCTATATATAAAGAGAAGCGACATCGAACTCCCACCACCAGATCAGATTCCTACCATCACTCCCTACTCCGCCATGTTTCGACCGCTCCAGTGTCGTAAACATAAACATACTCCAACCACCAACATTGTACTCCGTTGACTCCATTAGCGGAGTGAGCTCTAAAGTATTTCATTACTTTAGATCTACAATAGATATTTTAAGCCTTAAGCCGTAAAAAATTGACCAATTATTTAAGGCTTATATAATTATTAAGGGCCACTGTCACCAAGCTCAGGTAACTTAACTGGCCAGTTATTTGTTTGGGCCAGTTTGCTTCAAACAAAATGACAAATGCGATTGGTCAATTCCGATGGACTAACTGGCCAGTTAAGTTAACTGAGCTTGGTGACAGTGGCCCTAAATAGTGCAAACAACATGGTCAACGGCCACGTGTGTCAGCTGTGTAAACAGCTGCGGTCACAATATGACTGCTTCACTTAGGAAGGGATACCCACTCAGAATACATATCAGACTGCCAATCAGAAACTTGGACGTCAATGTCGCTTCTCTTTATATATAGGACTCACTCCTATCGATAGTCGGCATGCTTCTGTCCTGGGGATCGATTATGTATCTCGAAATAATGTGAAAACTACAAAAGTGAGTAAATTCACTAGAATACTCATAATTTAATTGGTCAATAACTAGTGAATTTGCTCACTTTTGTAATTTTCACCTCATTTCGAGATACATAATCGACCCCCTGAGTATTCAGTACAGACACGAACCACATCTACTTTCAACGATACGATTTTATCGATAGTGTTAGAAAAGGCGATTTTTTTACGCGCTTTAGGGTATCATGAAACTTTTTCCTTAGAATGAAAAGTGAAAAGTTTCTCCGTTAACTTCAAGGGTAAAAATTTTTATTTTTCACTTTCCATCCTAGAGATAAAGTTTCATGATTGATACCCTGGTATAGCAACTAGTCTCTAGAAGGTAGAGTCTGGCCACATAACCGTGATTATTTTCATTGGCCAATCCCAAAACCCCTTCACAATGGCGTGACCAATCACACAGTACAGAAATCGCGCGTATATATGAGGTCTGTTCGCGTTGCTTACACTTTTGGCACTCTACATCTTCACTTTCTCTCTTTTCAAGGCCAAATATATATCTATCTCATTTTAAGTGTAAAAATATTTGAGGATTTCATGCAACGCGAACAGACCTATGTATATGGCTGCGTTCAGCAGACTCAACAGTTTTGCAACCGTTTTATGATTGTCTGCTGAGATAGGACCATTCTTCTAGATCTAAAAGTATGATCCAATTAGCGCGAAGGAAACTTACAACAGTTGCAAAACAAACGTTCTGCTGAACGCACCCTATAGGTTACGCTTGAAAGTATGAGGATGCCATAAAGTCACTAAATTTATAAAGTACCGCAAACTCTTTCAGAAATGATGCATCAAAATGGCCGAAGTGCACATAGTACATGAGTTTGCGGTACTTTATAAATCTAGTGACTTTAGCATCGGAGGCACCCGAGTGACGCTTTCGAACGCAGCCAATAGCAGTAGCATACTAGAACAGCCAATCAAATTTGGGTCAAAATTCATACTCCTATTGCGCATTCGCGGAAACGTTACACCTGTCTTATCACACCATGGTTGGTATAACTAATCAAAAATTAACACGGGTGCAACGAGTGTGTACAGTGTACTGTGTGTACTGCTACTGCAAAGTAAAGAGAAATAATTTCGGAATTCAATGGGAAAAAAACGATTTTCGCGTTAATTAAAGTCATTTTTATTATGGAGACTACAAATAGTATATAAAGTTGATGGCCATGATAACATTATTAAATCGAGTTAAGAAATCAGGCGAAGAGATATGCAGAATTTACAATGCGGAAAGTTATGGCTATGTTTTATATTTATATTTGCTATCAAGAATTGAAAGATGAACGAAATCCACGTTTAATGTGAAAACAGGCACAACTCGCGGTTCCTAGTTACCTAGTTACTTTACCACGTATGCATACATAAATACCGTGCTTATATCTAATCGTACCTACCACCTTGATCCCGACTTTACAAAAATTACCAGGCATAATAATTTATCAAAACGCAAGCAATCCAAGAAAACAAGCATCGTGTGTCGCAAACTTAAGAAATACTAAACAGTTCAACAGTTTTATATAATTAGAATCAATCCAAGGAAATAAATCCAAGATGGATCTTCATAATCATTATTTACGTTACTCGACAGTGAATATTTCACTTTTACAAACTATAAACAAGTCTATTAGCATATATCACTTGATACAATCTTATAATTGTGAAATGACTAAAGAAGAATTAGATGTAGGTAAACTCGAGTTCTGCCGGTTGCTGTTATGTTATGAATATCAATCTGTATTTCATAACATCGAGAGGAGCGATCGTAAGAAGTATGTAATACCTGTTGATGCAGAGGAACTTAATTTTCCTAGTATAAAAATGATTTTTCCGCCTAATTGTTCACGAAATGTCTCGCAAATTTCGCTTTTATGTGACATAATCAATCTGCAGATGATACTTTACTATAATATTAATTCGATCAAACAATGTCTGCAGAATTTTCTTTACTCAAACGACATGTATACCGCAACTAGCAATTCTAGGATTATGTATATGAAGATATCAGAATATCTTTTAGAATTTTTACGCTTGTATCAATTTCATACCACCAACAAAGATAGTAAGGAATTGGAAAGCCTTGGCCACATATATTTGGAGATTATTAAGTCCTGGCTAAAGCTAAAGGAAGACTCTGAATGGAGACAGTTTGCTTTAATATTTCCTAAATTGGTAGAAATTTTTACTCCTTCATGTATTATGTTTCCTCTGTGGAACCATTTTCTATATAAAATAAATGATTTAAAGGAATCTCTCATTGGCCTAAGTATTATGGCAGACATATGTTTTACATCGTCAACTTCAATGAATTATATACAGTGTGATATTTACTGTAACAACACATTCTGGTTATTGATACTAAAGGGATTGCGATCGCCTTTGCAACAATATCGCAAACAAGCTTTATACATAATGAAAAAAGCAATTGGTTCTATGAGTACAAATGTTATATTAAATTTTGAATCACAATTGAATGTGACAAAAACACAAATTACACCATTTATTTGTAGTAATTCTAATACCTCTTCATCAATAGATGATACTAAGGAGAAATTTTTCTTACTTTACGAAGCATTAGAAGAGAAAAAGGAACATTTAATAACACCAACTTTAATTCATGCAGCTGCTTTAATAAAAGTAAACAAAGAGCACAGAGCTTGCAACTGCTTCAACATCATATGGTTGCAGTGCATTTTTGAGAAAATCTTACTGCATGAGAATAATCATATTTCAAAGTGGGGTGTATCATACGTTTGTAAGCTAGACAAGACCATATTTGATGATCAGTTTCTCGAATTATTTATACATGTCCTGAATAATAACTTTCTTTATGAATGCCAGTCTGACGAAAAATGTCCGGAAATTGTGAAAGAGCTCTCACAATTTCTCAAATACGCAGAGAAAAGCGATTTGCTCAATAGATTTCTTAAAAAGATTAGTTATGTAGCCTGGGGGCCTGTAGCAATATTTTATATAATACATGTGTTACGAACAATTTCACATCATGGGAGTCAACATTCTGATTGGCAGACTACTGAATTAAATGCCATTAAATTTTTAGTGGAAACAAATTTGAGCATGCATTCTCGTATTCTACGTACTGCGTCTCAAATTGAGCTCTTGAGAGCAATCCCTAATTATGTACGGAAGATAAACAATCTACCATTACTCGCTAATGTTTTAGCTACATTTCCTTCTAGAGAAAGTCTCACGAGAGGAACAGTTCCTTGGAACGTTATTACGACATGGTTGGGAAAAGTATTAGCGAGAGAAGATGTGATAACTTTCATAAAGGAGACTTGTGCGAAATATTTGAATCAAGATGCTAGTCCTGAGATAAATCCTAGGACATTTGCAACAATGGTATACTTGTTATATGACGCAAACCTTATATTCTTATGCCAGACGTGCCCTGACGTAGAAGCATTAAACAATTGGCTGTATACCTTAAATGGTATTAATGTACGACCATATGCCAATGTCATATCAAGTATGAATGTAGTAGAATTTATATCGCATTTAGTGTATCTTTCCCCGAAGGGGTCTCACAGTAACATGACGGACTTTATATCGTTACACATACGTATCACTTTTAATTTTTTAATTAAAAATATGAGAAAGATATCCATAAAATTGTCCTATGAAGATTATACGAGATACACGGCCATTGTATCTTCACATATTGTTAACGCTCCTTTTCTCATGTCAAAAAAGGATGTAAACATTTATGCAGAAAAGTTGCAAGACGAAAGTATAAACTTGATACAC